CAAATGGCTTGTTATCTTCTTGTAACTCTTTCCATAAGGATCTCAGCATGCATTTTACTCATAAAGAAAGCGCATTAACCAGCTTAGTGTTGCGATTTGCATTAGATCTTCACTAGTTTGAGCGAAATAATTGAAATCTACCCGAAGCGAAAGCTAATACAAAGATATTGCGTTGAAGAGATTACGTAACAATTCCACGAGGATTCTGGGATTGAGTGGCTTCGAACAGGACCACATCCAAAGTAAAATAAAGCGTACTGTTTATCCCAACCTACAGACTTTACCTTTGAGAAAGAAAACGAGTGAATAAGTGAGCCCCTACATGGTTTCCGGTAGCTGCTCTGTATTCCGTCTAGTGCTTCAGTGGAAAGTACACCACAGGGCGAGTGCGGTGTAGTGGCAGGTAGAGGCGCTTTACCACAGTAGCATGTTCCGGGATCAGTCCCAGATCGGTATCCGCAAGCCTTCCATCCCTACTGTGTCGGCTAATCAGTAGCAGTCCTCGTCTGGGAGGATAAAAAAACTGGCTTGGTTACTGGCTGGCCACCCTACTTGATCGCATAGGCCAAATACGCATTCAAACCGCAACTACGATTCTGAATCGAAGTGGAATGCAAGTTCAGTCGAAAACAACATGACTTTAACCTTTCGACTCTGTGCTCAAACCCATTTCCTTAAAAGGGAATTTTGAGGAAATCTCCAGCCGTTTGGCTGAAAGGTAATGTCAGCTGTCCGTTCCTCGTGACCTCGGGCTATGTAGACAGCTAAGACTACGGTCTTCGTTTTCAGCGCTTCGGTTGCGCTTATGTTGTTACAGTATGTTCTTCCTCCTTGTTGTTCAATCGGAATGTGTCTCTGCCCACGTAATTAGCCATACCAATTACAATGGAAGGACTGGTATTGGTTATGATGTTATTGTGGTGAACTGTAGTGCAAATAACAGAAAGCTTTCTGTAGATGGTTGAGAGAAGTGAATGACTCTTATACTATCATGTAGTCAGCTTGCGAAGGAAACAGGAATGGAACGTTTTCCTCGCAAATTCCCATACTGTCTTTGGGGAGCGCACTTCAACTGAGCTCTGACCGTTAGACCTTCTTTGGACTTCTAAACCGCTAGCACTTCGAATTTATAAAAATTGGAGCTCACTTGGATGCGTATGAGACCTAATATAATAGAGTAAGCAGTTATAGGCTTGTATATCTGACCTAAAACTGGCAGGCTTCAGCTCATGCTGGGAGCAGCACATTGGGAAGGTTCCTCGAAATATAGGAAGCTCAGGTCAACTTAATGCTTCAGCAGCAGTCATTCAATGTACCAAGATGGTGGCTCCTCGCGCCCTTTCTCCATGCCGTATTTCTATCGCAACTTCTATGAAAAACGATGATTCAATGAACTTCTGAATACAATGCTCTTCGTGGTCACAAGAGTGGCTCAGTCAGCAAGGAGGAGTTGATATCCATTCGATCCTGACTCTTTCAGTTTTGGAATCAAATGCGGTGTCGAAAACTTCTCCTAGTGATTAGAATCACAAGCGCTTTTCTTGGACTTTTTTAATATTTGAGGGTTATTGTTGCTCTCTCCCGTGATGTGGTCCATTCCCTAGTACATTACTCTTTGACCAGTAGCGTATTTGCCTGGGTGGCGTCCCTGTTGACATGTGTTTCGTTGCATAGCGTCAGTGAACTTATGCGGAGACGAGGACGAACTCGTCTAATGTGGGAAGAACTCGTTCAGTCTGCTGTACACCTCATTAGAGTGGGGTTTGCTGGTGAATCACCTCGCTCTCCGCTATGATTTGCTTTGTTGGGAGTAAGGACGGCCGTTAAATGGCAACTGCTGAGTCTGAGGACGATGATGACGAAAGTTGGCATTTTAAGGAAAAGAAAGGAAAGGGCACTACTAAGTACCTTTGAGCTCAGCATAAGCGGAGGACTGTATGACTAATGCTGAAACCATAGATTTTTCCGTTAATAATAATGTTACTTAATATTTTAACTTTTCATTTTTTCGATATTTTTGACTTTATTTTATGAGCTCGAAGAAATAGGAATTCCATTGAGCAGAATTTGAAGAGAATTGATAGCCTCTCTCCCACCGGGGATAACGACCCCTAAGGTTAAGGAATAATAAGACAACTATGGCACCAACAGAGAAGTTCTCTGTTACCAAATTGTTTGTGATTCGGTATTAAAGCCGTCATTCTTATTTTGCAAAGCATTGAGTGGTTTTCACTTTCCGTGCATTCAATGGCTTAAAACGCTTTTTATTACTCTCAGTTTGCAATATTACTTACATATGACCTACTAAAAAACTATGTCATGGCAGTGAATAGAATAGATTAGAATAGAATAGAATAAAATTTAATAGAGACGGTATCAAAACGCACAGAGACTTGACTTGCTCCACTAACTGCTTATTTACTTATTTGGGTAGTGGTGGAGGGATGGCAGCTCCCTTGCTTGAGTACTCCTGTCCGTCCGACTGGGGTCGCGGTTAAAATCGTTCTTCATGCGTTGAGTTGCGCACAGCAAGCCCCGGTAGATTACGTTTAAATCGTTGCGTTCTTGACCAACGGTAAGGACAATGATTTGCTCAGGGAGATATCTGCCTACCGTAGGAGAGTCAATTTGTTGCCCTGCTTTCGTCACTACCATCTGCGAATTACTGTAATAGGAATTCAACAGTGACGGAACACGAATAATTTTCCTACATACTGAATTTGTATGTATTTTAGGAAATCATCGTCACAAAGTAATCTCGTAACCTTTACACGAGCCTAAAACGATATAAAAAGAATAAGTAATTGCGTACTACGTATTTTAAACTTTAATTGTCCCCTCATCACAATTTCACCAGTGCAACACTAATTTCCGGCACACGGAGAATCACTAGAAACTATAAGAATAGGGCAAGGCAGAGGCGATAAATAAAGCTGTGAATAATGATGATTTCTATGAAAAGTTTGGGAGCCTTCACAAGAGCCCCGTTGAGGAACGGAACAGTGGCTCCGCTCCGAGCCAGTGAAAGACGCCTTTGACGACTTCTGGATAATTCAATATCCTCAAATGAAAACCATTGTTCACGCTTAAGAGCCTAGGTAACCGACAAGTCACCTTTAATGCTTTCAACAGGCCCTTTCACATGTGATGGGAGGAGAAGGACCTGGTAATATGATGTTTGTCAGAAGGGTATTTCTGCAGCTGCAACGCAAGGAAGAGCTGCAATAAAGATGATTAGGCTTTTCCGGTTTGATTACCGCCTACAAATCTGGAAGTGAGTGACGAATATTATAAATCATCCCTTGAACATTCATCGAAAATGCTGGGAACCAGAGGAGGTGCAAGCCGAACCCGTGAATGATGAGGACCTTTTGTTACAGATTGACGTCTTCAAGGACGTCGTCCTCGGTCCAGGACCGTACCTTCCTCTAAATCAGAAGTATTCCTGTTGAATGACGTTCGTCTTAGGAAAAGCAGTGGAATCATGGGTAAGAATTTCGAGTTAACCAGACCGCAGCCTATCTTCAGGCCCCATTTCGAGAGATCAAAGGTAACAAGCGAAAGACAGGTGCTGCAGCAAATACAAAACAACACGAAAACCAGTAAGGTGGCCTACCAGTGGTCGTAGTAGAGAGTGACAGAAGGTACGTATTTCTAAATACTTTGCCTAATAGCACTACGTGTTCCGCACTTGACCACTTTCCACTTTTAGAAACGAATCAGAAAGTTGGGTCGCTGTAATACAACTACACCCACAACACCTAGGACCGACACAAAACAGTCTAATTCTTAAATCAAGAATAAAGGAAAGGTTTCCCAAGGTCAGTGGAGTTCGAGCCCTACTTGGAAACTTTGAATGATCTTCGCGCAGTATGTACTTCTCGAATAATACTATTTTGTTTCATCGCACTTCCCCTTGAAGAAGTGTTCGCTGTCTCCAAATTGACCTGGTCACTTTTGCTGAAAATCCCGCCGCTGGGACTGGCACAACCGTTTTCCAGTTGCGCTTCCCACTAGGTCTTCTCCGCGGCTTACCATGCTTTCTTCTGATCTGCATCTCAGTTATGCTTTGTAAACACGAACCTCCTCCGTGTAAGCACGGTATTGAAACAGTTGTGCTCCCATTTCCCAATGAATTCCTCCCGAATTCTACTCTAAATGATGGCATCATTTGATGGAGAGAGCTATTGAGTGGTCTACAGAGTTGTTTGAACTCTGAACTTTGGATTCCACTTCTTTCCAAGAATCCAGCAGTTCCATCGGTCTAGCAGGTGCACGAGCTGTCTGCCGTACTTCAGCCTCAGCTGTTAAGGAATCCCCCGAGTGACGATTGCAGCATTCTTTCTGAGAATGGGTCCGCCTGATCACTCGACCGAATCGTACTGATTGGTGGTTTGTGATGATTCTTTGTGGTTCATCACTTGGTTTTTGGCCTAATTTCTTTGTTTGTTGATGCTAAATTGGGATCGTTTGCAACTGTTGTAAAGTTAATTTTATTTTTGTTGTAATCAACAACTCCACATAATACTGACAGCTAACACTGAAAAACACCAAAAACATCGTAGCTCCTTCATCGTAGCCTGTAATTCCTAACCTCTAAACACTTATTGACTTTAGAAACACTGGAAAAGAAACAAGATCGAATGTGATTTATCCAAGGTGGCATCTACGCTTGCAGGTCAACCGTATGGCAGTTTCATTCAGTTGTCCTTCGAGAGCTGTCAGGATCGCATGATGTCGAGGCAATCTGCCCCTTTCCTTATACTCCTTAGGCCCACCTTAGGCCCTTAGGCAAACAGCCAATGAAACATTCTTTGTGGTTTCTGTGTTTGACGCATGTTATCGGGAACACTTTATAATGCCGGTTATAAGTAGCTAACATATAATCATCTTTGTGATGGGGCGTGTCTCAAGGGGTGTGGTCACGGCGGCTATAAAAGGTGTAGCAGACGGGCGGACTCACACAGACCGTTTGTCGCCATCTGTCATACAGCAACAAGATGATATTCGAAGTTCCTGTGGACCATTTCCCAGTGCAACGTGCACGATTACAACGGCCACAGCCACTTGTTTTGCCTCAGATCTCTATTGTCCAGAGCCGAGCTGAGCTCTCTGCCAACGTGGTATCCAGTCCTTCAGGTTTGTTGCTTTTCTTTTATCAAGCCCCTTTTTTCCTTCTTCTTGTGTCAGTTTCTTTCTTCGTTTCAATCACTTATTAACGCTGTTTCAGTCCAGCGATCACAGTTCACCTTCTTTGCCGTTACACGACAACCTGCCGCTGATATTCCGATCAGACGGATATCCCCACCTGGTTCGGCACCACGTCCCGCTGTACCCATACTGCAGTCGCTGAGGGTACCAAAGATTTTCTCAGATGCTCGGCGGTTTCTTTCTACAGTGGTATTATCACCACAATTAGCCTAACCATTTGTGGATCGTAAAGTGCTAGTGTCAATTTATGTAATTATTTGACGAATTGTCTAGTTCGTCCGTAGTCCGTGGCGGCTATCGTCACTTCCCATCCTTTTACTATGTTCTCATATCGCATTTCCTGTGATCTCATCGATGACGAGTACCGTGTTGTTCATGCTTTATCGTTCTTTTTTTGAATCTAATAAATCATACTTTTATCTATTGTACTGTTTTACTCCAATAATTGCCTCATTCTACGCAGCATGCTAAAAACGACCAAAAAATATAGGAGTGAGTCAGAAAAACGCCTACATTACGAAATTGCGAATCGAAAGAATGTCATTGGGCGTTCACGCTACTGACTGACTCACAAGTAGGAGCGCCACGTTGATGCGTATCTCATGGTTAGTTAGTCATATGCGGATGTAAAACTGAACAACGATGAAGCCCCAAAACCTGTATAGGTGTGGTCGAACCGAAAACCGTCGACCTTGCCCATAGGGAGGGACAAACGATGTCGGGAACCAAGGCCCTAATAGACGCATTCGCTGTAATGAGTATGTGCGCAGTTCTCTCCTTGGTCCGAATCAGACTGTTGCCCTAATGGGCCTCTCGTATCTTCCCCTCAAGTGGAACTTGTTCTTTAAGTTCTTTAAGTGTTTTGAAGTAGTTTAGAGAACATGAACAGAATGACGCGATGTAGTGGCTGTGAAGCTTGATTCTCTTCATAGTATGATAGTAGAATCGGAATTCTTCCCAGCTGCTTCTCGAAAGAGGTTTATATAATCTAGCCTTCCCCTCGATATTGACGAAATGTGAGGCCTGGAAAAGTGTAAAGGGTCTGAAGAATCCTGCGTCTTTAGGTGTTCTGATTGTTTCACTCTTGTCAAGGATTTTATAGGAATCTTTACTTTGTCTCTTGCCCTATTCCGATTTCACAACCTCATCTTCCCTTTCCTATGTTTGGAAACGAAATTTGGAAGGGAAACATGGGCCTCAAATATGGCTAAAGGGTCCCGTCTTAGTGGTCATCACCACCACTTCACAGTGTGCTGGCCATACACAGAAGATGAACACTTGTACAAAAAGTGCGAACTNTTGCAGCCGTAAAGGTGTATCCCATCGATGAATATGATCATAAAAGTACTATCAGAGGTCGAACATTTCGGAATTGAAGCTCCATTGATTGCACTAAAGATCGACGATGCAACGGTGTTCAAGAGGGCAATGATGCTCTTGAGGACGAAAGCTGTGCCAGTTCAGAAATTTGATTGCGTAGCTAGACGGATGAGTCTTAATAACTCTCCCGTGCGGTAAAACTGTTTTGAGCACTTGGAGCTTATGCAGCTCGAATGGCTTAACATCTGTGACGGCTATATGTTTCTCCCAGTCCACACTCGAGCGCCAAAGGCGATCATTCAGAGTTTAGTTTAAGATTATACCGCATTTAAATCGTGGGGGTTGGTTGCCTGAACGTCATCATTACATGTTCGAGGAAATATTCTTCAACTCATAGACGTAGGTAAGGCGGCCTACATGTAGGATAAAGGATAAAGTCGTTGGGCGTTCATCAATCTCTTCTGAAGAATGCGCCCCCGCATTCGACTTTCATTCAGAATCGTAATGGCGTCATGAATGTCTGCGTGGCCTATACATACAATGACTTGCAGTGGACAGCCGATTTACAGCTCAGTGCTTTTCTAGTCTCAGACGAGTCTAGTACCAGTCAGTTGACCTCGGAGGGGTGAAAGGCCTGGTTGGCCTAGGCGGATCCAGAGAATCATAGTTTTACTAGGTTTGAAAGATAAAAGAACCCTTACAGTGGTCGTTTCTTATAATTTTTAATCAGAAGACAAGCTCCTCAAACCGTGCAAGCGAATATAGATGCTTACAATAAATCACATATTTCCGATCAAGAACTGACGAACATTTCTCCAATCCAATTGCCTTACTCATTTCCTTAACAACTGATTGGGAATTTTCTTGAGCCACAGCATCGGTCCCGAAATGAAAATATTAGGTTACTCGAAGGTAAGTGCGATATCTAAGCGTTACACAAAAAAATTCCCCATTGAACGAACCTTATCATGGTGTGCATTCAGTTTTGTTCGATTATCTTTTGCCATCATTCTGGTAATTCCTTAGCTCCTCTCTCATAGGAGTTACAGATTTTTGGCCAATAAACTAAACCACACGAGACTACATGTGTTCATCTTCAATCAAGGTTTTCCCACTGGAGGAATGCTGGCAACGACGGAAAAGAGGTGTCTCCGGATTGAGCGAGGACAGAGCTATGTGGTGGATGCAGCATTATTTTTCAACAATGCTTTGATAAATTTTGTCATGTCCAAAACCAAAATGTATGCGATCTGGTCTCGTCATAGTATAGCATTACTTGTTTGGGATTCGCTAGTTTTGAAGGGCTTTTCCAATTGCTCCATCAAGTTCTGATAAAGAGAGATAAAAGGTAACAATCTGGTTCCTGGAAGTCACTCCAAACCCCATCCAATCCCACACGTCCCTGTAATCCTATCAAATTGGTAGCACTACCTTCTTTTGATGAAGATCAGCTTTGGAACACGCTGGTTCATCCGGTATTTACCACAATCGTTTGTGAGTAACTTTATCGTAAACATCCCAGCTTTTGTCAACAATCATAATTCGCTTTATAAACGGGTGGTCTTCATTGTGTTTGAAGTGCAAATCACCGACACTATCTCGCAGCGTCAAGTTTATCTCCCTTATCTCAAGTGGCACCTAAACATCTAACTTTTCTACTAGTCCAAGTTTTCGATAATCTCGTTGACTATTCCCATGGATGCGCTGGTCTTCTGTAAGGCATTACTTGGGCTACATGAGGGCAGGCGACATTGCTATCAAATGATTATTATCCGTGCCCACCGGGTAGCCCCCATTGAAGTGGAAAGTTGCTAGATAGAACGAAAAGTAGTGGAACAATGTTCACATGAGTTCTGTAATAAGACATTGTCACCTCATTTTTCACATACATCATGGAAAAAAACCAGCAGCTTCTGACCACGGTAGTAGTAAAGAACTAGAACGTATAAAACCCATCTGACACCCCATATTCAAATTGTCTAAAAACTGTAAATGGATAGGCAATTTGTTAGGCTTTTTTCAAAAAAAAAAGCCGAATATGTGGCTGTAAAAAATATACACTGAACAAAAAGTATTAAGACATCTGAAAAGCTTCTTAATCAGGAGTTTGAAGAAGTTGTTTTCAAGAATCGTGATTACTTTCAGAACAATCCATTGGTTTGACACTTCTGTAGAACATCTCTGGTGTTGGAATGATTTCAAATGGAGACTTGGGCACAGTGGGTAGGGGGTTCATAAGCAGAGAAGCTACACACGTTGAGGAGTTGCCTGAAAAGAAGATATGCGAGAATTTCTTGATGCCAAGTGCAACAATGTTTGATTATCAAGTAGCCTACTGAGAAGACGTGGCCCTTTTAAAGATTAGGTTGATATAGCAGCAGAAATTGTCACATTACCGTTATTACTTTTTATAAAATTCACTAAGACTGTTTGTTGGCTGCTGAATAATTTGTTACTTTGTGTTTGTGTGGGTGTCGGTGTGTGTATGTATGTGTGTGGGTCGGTGTGCGTTGATATGTGTGTCGGTTTGTGTATGTTGGAGGATGGGTTGGTGTGTATGTTGATGCGTATAATTCATAGCTGCTGATTAGTAGTCTCAGAATGCAAGATTTAGAGAACTCATACACTCTTCTTTTGAGGATTGCTGCTCTTCGGTAGGTGACGTGTTGCGTAAAATAGACAGTAGATGGTTGAAACAGGAACTGATTATATCAAAGAAGGGCTGACAAGGAGTCATTAGAGCTCTTACCGAGTCACTGAGTTGGTTGCCCCCTCCTTGACAACAGAGGAACTTTGACATTTAATCGGGAGGAGATGTGACGGAAAGGATGCCTGGTGACAGGATGTGATAACAATTGATGGTGGCTGATACGGACCCATAGAAGGCATGAATCGCTGGGTCATTAATACTCTTTGGGTAAGTAGTAGAAACTTGACGCTTTGATAGTCGAGGTGGGGTGTAAAGGACCCTTAAATGATTTTCGGCAAGGGCTGGTAGCAAGGGATAAAGCCTATTGAGTATTTAAACAGGTTGAGGGCTACTATGCAAGTAACGCCCATCGTTTTAGTAGTCCAACGATGGCATCTTGGCGGGTGACGTGAAATAAATTGGTATCGAGAATGGTTTATGACGAGGACTGATAACAAATGATTGCATCTGATTATTGCCTTCAATGTATGATATAGCGTGCGACTAATCGCAAATAATGGGTTACAGAAAATGATAACAGCTGATACTGGATGATTAGGTACCACAGAAGATTTTACTCTCTAGACCTTTTGGTGTACACGGTGTAACCCTGGTAATTTCTTGAGGTATGCGTGATTTAGTCTTGATATTTTGATATTTTTTGTAGGACAAGACGAAATAATAAAGCAAGCTGACATAAAAAAAATGAAAATTAGTGTGATAAGAACTGGTGGAAGTCAGTCCCATTTAGGAGAAATTGAGTTGGTTTCGATACTTGCTGTTAAACGATGAACACGCGTTCAAGTTTTGTGACCCAAAAGGAGACTTTCCCTTTACTCTGACATCAACTGCCACAAAACCAACCTCATTAATAATCTGAGAATCTCGGCCAATGATTTATATACATGAACATAGGTAGGGTTACAAATAAGCATTCCTGATAGTGCCATTGTCATCGATCGCCAACGTTTATAACCGTTATTTAGGGTTTCCGTTCACTAATAATGCAACAGATAAAAATTTCGTAAGCGTAGGCGCTTCGTGTTGAATTTGTAATGCCCACGCAGTTGGGTGAATTCCCTTTCAGAAATTTTATGGTCAGAAAAAATCGATTGCTCCTGGAAAACAATCAAGGGTCAACCATGCATTCAGAATTTGTAATAACAACAAATGACAGGTCCACTCCCCGTTTTCCCCCGGTATT